AGCGATTTACCAAAACGTAGAGCTTCAAAAGGGTCTGAATTTGTTGATCGTGTCCTTAACAGCCGCAGATCTTATAAACTGTCTGGTTGCGCAGCCAATGTACGTCTACTATCTTAGCAACGACGAGAGTAACAACAGCTACCTTGCAGCATTCGAGATAATCGCTTACATCGGCCTTCATGTAGTTTTCTCTAACCTCGTTATAATCACTTATCATAGAATGAAGGCTTTGGCCCGACCTTTCCATCACCTTCTGCTCGTCGCGAGAAAAGATCTCGTGGTGGTTATAGTGTTGACTTGGATCGTGTCCATAGTTATTGGTGTTGTGTTCGCAACGGAACCAGGAAAACGTGCCGGTGCCTCTGTCCATGCTGCGATGATACTGAGCTTGGTTTTCACTTATATCAGAATTCTGTGGGTGTCCTGGAGGCGAAGGAGAAGAAAAATCGCGGAACAAGTAGGTACAGCCAATTACCACCAACAAGCTGCCACCATAGAGCATGAGAACGCCGCGGCCATCACATCAGCCATCTTGGTGGGCACTACCTTACTGTGTTTCTTGCCTGATGTTGTTCTCGATGTAATGGGTGAAGGAGAAGTTAACAGGCGGTTGTGGACATACACTCTGCTTTTTTCAAGCTCGGCGCTGAATCCTTGTATAGTTATTTGGCGTAATCAACGGTTCAGAAGAGCAGTGCTTGACACATTTCGCCTCCGTAACTGAACAGCGAACAGATTTCGTCTTACTAAACGAAAAAAAGGCTGAATAATGCAGCGAATCGTGGAATATAAATTATAAATAACCGCAATTTTAAGTCGATAAGACGCATGTCAGTATTATATAAATCAATACACGTTTGAAAATTTAACTCAACTATTAAGATCTTAAATCTAAAGGAAACATATAACAAGATGTAAAATTTTCTGGTAATCTTCACTTAATTCGTGGGCGGGATTGTTCACGAAAGAGCTGTATGCTTTTCAGTAGGACGTCTCAGTTATTTTTATAGCCATTTTATGTCGTATATTCAGAAAATTCAGAAACTTACAATTGTAGATCACGATGACGTATATCGAATCAAAATACAAAACACACTGAGGTTAGAGGCTGTAAATTAAGTCAGTACGTTTATTACAATATCTTGAGACGGAAAAGGAGATAGAAGTTATAATTAAAACTTGTTGATTTTTGTAGCTTCTAAAATAAAACTGGCCAAGCTTCCAATGTTTTCTTTATATTTAACATAACCGCAGCTGTCGTTTTATTATAAAACTGCCAATCAATCAATCATTCGCCATTACATGATATGAAAATATATTCAAGTGCTGACTGACTGCTGGCTTGGAAATATTTGAATAGTCAGAACTAATAATTTTTGTCCCGAGTTCTCCAGTTTTCGTTCCTTCATTAGAGACCACCGCTTTTGAGTTCCCAACTCCTGATCGGCCATTCAGCATTTACTCGCGCCAGTGCTAATATTTGATTGAATGAGATATTTTCTCTCATTGCTTGTAAACCAGTCGCAGAATTATCCTTCCACTGGGATCAGCTGGTTGACGAGTGACTTTCGATAATTGCTGTCTCGTAAGTGTAGTGCCTGTGAGGAAAGAGTCGACGAAAAATACATTCAATTCTTCGGAAAGTTACTTTATTTTATTTATGTTATTTCTTTTTCAAACACAGCTTTATGCAGAGCAATAATTTGCATAAAGCATCAACTTTAATAGCCTTACGTTCACCTGAGAAGTAAGTCTATTGTGCAAAAGATGGATGCTGATGACATCGTTCCAACAATTCTTTGGCTGAAACTGACATTTCACGCTGCATCCAGCTTTCACAAAGCCAATATTACGAAATAGAAAGGCTTTTGAGTAACGGAGTTTTAATACTGACGCGAGTGCAGGTATATTGCACCCTTCGCGAAAAGGTATCCAAATTTCGTATTGAACATTGTCTCAGTTCTAAAGAAAAACAATCAGCGGAAAATGTTACTTTTGGTTGAAAACAATTTCGCCTGAATTATCGTTTTTCGTCAGGTTCCTATGTAGTCTACTTTGCATTTATTTTGGGGGAAGTTGGGTTAGATAACGTTACATTCCTCCACCACAGGAATTTTAAAAAAGGCAAATTGCCCGATCAATTCTAGGGGACGTTTTTCTTACTATCTAGACAAAGCATTCTACATACCACGAAAAACTGCAAAGAAAGCGACGGAAAAAATTGATGTGAAATTGAAACCGGCCAATCAGTGTTTAATGGGTGTCATTATTTCAGGCGTGACTTTGGACTCTGAACCAATGAAAAAGTCTTAATAGATATGATTTTTCAAGCAGATGTTGTTTAAAGTAGTCATCCCTAACGACGTAACGCTGACAAAGTTGCTAAGATGAATAAAGGAAACGTGTTTTTTTCTTGGTAGAATTCTTTTCACAGATTTAAGGTAAGTTATTAGATTAAATTCCTGACCCGACTAGGAAGGCGTGTAAGGAAATATTAAAACTTGACCGCAAAAGCCTATTCCGTGCAGTATGTTTTCTGGGCGCCCTCCGTGCTAGCTAGCGCTTGGTGTCATTCCAACAACTAATAAACAAATTCAAGGCAAGTCATCGGCTTTTGTTCAGCTAGAGTAAGAACAACCTGTGTCAATTTCTAATCGAAATCATGAGTAAGAATATAGGAAATGACGCGCTTGTATAAAGTTTATAACAAAGCTAGTACGAAATTATCATTCCATTTATTCTGAAAGAAAGTACATCACTCAGCTTTTATCAACTGATATAAATTTGAAGGCCAATACTTGCATGTTTTCTACTAATGCTCTTTTGTCTGCTAAAGGTCTTGATAATTAATCCACGCCAAAAAACAGTCAGTCATATTACTCAGTAGTCGGACTCAGGAAATAATTTACGAAAAGATAAAACAATCAGGCTGATGTGTAGTATCTAATTTTGAGATCTCGATAAGTGGACACAAGAAAACAAGCAATTGCTGAACCCAGTCAAAGGAAACCATAGACTGACGAACTGATCGCGATTAGGATTGGCCTAAGAGCCAGTAAACTCGAGTTATAAGTGAGGTAAGTCTTTTTTTATTTCTTGTACGTAAGGCTTGATCACCGTTAAAATTTTACATCACATCGAGCCAACCCCTTAATGGCAAGCTGTATCATTCTTTCTCTTGACATCATATCTCTGTGGCGTGCTAATTTACTAGGTTTCGTGTGAAAGCGACGAGAGGGATTTGGCATCAAAACCTTATTGCTTTTCATGGTAAATTATGATATCCTCATGCCAAATAGTTTGTGATTTGTACCATCACTAACAGAATAGTAAAGCGGTCTAAAAGGCTATCAATTGCTCTAGCCGCCAGCAACAATTTCATCTTCTTTCGAACCTAGAACTGCGAATTTGTGACAGCTTGATTTAAAAAGCGCTTCAAGTTGTCATTTTGACAACTATACGCAGCGCTTAACGTCATATTGTATATTCAGACACACTCATTGCAAGAATACAACTGGCAGGCGTGGCGAACAGACCTGAACTGCGCTCGCGCATTTTCCAACAGTGTACTCGCCCTTGTCTCCAGTCTCTCTCAATTGTGTAAGTTGTTAAAGTGTTCAACGTTTTTATAATAACCTATCGACCTTGTGCCTGGTGTCATTGACATACGCTCTCTCCGGCTAAGTGCCCGTAGCATTAGATAGTAATTTTAATTCGGATTTTGACGCACAATCAAATGAGCCTGAGTAAAAACGCAATTTATGCTAGTGTGTGACGTTTTACTGAAAAGAAAAACGATAAGCTTAAAAAAAATTAAGCCGACTCACGGTCGGAAAACGGATAAGGAACTAAATAGGGACCCAGAGTTAAAAATATCCTTGTAGAGAGTTTGCATACAGTTTTTGGCGGCATTTCTGAGAATTTTAGCAGATCTTTCCGATCACTTTGCAATCTATAGTTCAAAAGAGCTTTAATGTAATGCTTCGCATTTCACGTGCCTTTTAAACAACTCAGTGGGTTATTTCATTCCACTTGATGTCCTGCTTTAACATAAATCTCTATGTTGTCAGACTAATACATATGAGGAAGCTTTTAAATAAGTCATCATTAGAATTACGTACAAGTGGCAAACTTACTTCCAGAGGTAAAAGAGCATGGAGAGAGTGTCCCCTCAAGAGTCACTGTGAGATTTAAACGTTTTTCCTAATAACACAAAAAATTACCCCGGCCATGGCCGTTGGATGCGGCGATGTCCAGTGTACTAACCATCCCAATTGGCCGACGGGCCTCCTCTCACTTTCAAGTGAAAGCACCTTAACTTAGGTAGGCCACGTTTTCACAACTTGAACTTCCCTTTCGTTTCCTTGAAAACATAGCAGCCGGTATATATTCACAGTAAAATTACAAAATGCTTTCAATACCGGCGTTACGTTCAAGACGTTAATAGTTCTTGGATGTGAGGACATGTTTATCATCATCGACATCAGAAACAAACGTTTTCCAGTTTCATTTGCAGTAACTCAAATCCGCCTAGCCTCTTTGTAGCTTTAACCGGAAAACGTGTATGATATACGGTTTCAAACGATTTCGTGTTGTCGGGGTCATTGAATAGAGATGCGCTGGGTTTATAAACAACCACTTCAAGTAGAACTAATCGTCAGGATATGAATTGCACGTTCTGCCACACGCACTTTAATTTTGACGGTAATCAAACACGGACGTCCGCCCTCGGGACAATTTTGTAATAATGACTCTTTGAAATGAGCTAGTCATATAGCCAACCTTGCACGTGACCATCCATTGGCCGCAGCCAGTTTAAACGAGTTTAAGTTAGTTAAAAACAGCTACCTCTTACAGAACACTCTGACCGCCACACCAGCCGCGAAGAATACCGCTTCTCGATATCTGTACTCAAAATGGCATCGGCGAAGGTTGTTTCCCTTATCATTATCAATGCATTTCTCAGTGTTTTTGGCACTTGCATGACTTTTCTGGTGATAATGGCGATTCTACAAAACGCAGAGCTTCAAAAGGGTCTGAATTTGCTTATCGTGTCTCTAACAGCCGCAGATCTTACTAACTGCCTGATAGCTCAGCCAATGTACGTCTACTATCTTGGCAACGAGGTAGGCGGTACCTACCTCGTAGCATTCGAGACCATCGCTTTCATCGGCCTTCACGCCGTTTTCACCAACCTGACAGCTATCACGTATCACAGAATGAAGGCTTTGTCGCGACCTTTCCATCACCTGCTCGTCTCGAGAAAAGATCTTGTGGTAGTCATAATGTTGACTTGGGTGGTCTCCATAGTTATTGGTGTTGTGTTCGCAACGGAACCAGGGAAACGTGTCGGTGTCTATTTTCATGGTGTGATGATACTGAGCCTGGTTTTGACTTACATCAAAATTCTGTGGGTGTCCTGGAGGCGAAGGAGAAGAAAAATAGCGGAACGGCCGGGAACGGCAAATTTCCATCAACAAGCCGCTACTATGGAACAAGAGAACGCCGCGGCCATCACATCAGCAATCTTGGTGGGCTCCACCTTGTTGTGTTTCTTGCCTGATGTTGTTCTGGATTTGATGGGAAAAGCAGAAATAAACAGGCTAATGGGAATTTACACTCTACTCTTCGCTAGTTCGGCGTTGAATCCTTGCGTGGTTATTTGGCGCAATCAGCAGTTTAGAAGAACGCTTCTTCAAATGTTACGCCTCGCTAATTAACGTCCAATCTGGATGTTTACTGGCTAGAGTCGCTGAGAAAACGCAGAAATAGGCAAATGATAGTTAAATTATAACAGCTAACTTCAAAATATTTCGATTGTTCAGAGCACGGCTGGCCTCAAAAAGAAAGGTCGCAATGAGGAGCAGAGCATTAACTTGAAAGATTTCCTATGAAAAAATCATTAATTCCGTGATGAATTGAGGCCATTTTGTCTTCAAAGCAAAATTTTAAAAAGAAAGAATTAACAAGTTTAATGGCACATAAACAGCTGTTAGTTTAGCCGCCAAGTCGTTGCTACAGTATTACAAATGTGGCTCTGAAAAAATTAAAGCTTACAGAGCCTAATGTTTTCTCTGAATTAATATAACTAAGCTGTCCATGTATTTGAAACTGGCAATCAATCCATCAAAGTCAGTCAAAAACTCCTTCAAGTGCGCTGCACTCTAGTTTAATGAAAAACCATTAAGCTAGAAAAATAATTTTTTAAGACTAACACACTCCTTTCAATCAAAATAACATGTCAGGCTAAATTTTGAGTTAATGTACTTTTGAACTAAGCACAGAATGACTTGCAAATAAGATGCATGCGATTAATTTTGCATTTTTAGGATATTGACTGATTCGATGATTCTCAAACTAAAATTTAGAAAAAGAAAACTAGAAAATCACCACTTCAAGTTTTCTTTTAATTTCCTTGTCTTTCTGAGCATGTGTGCGTGAGAACCAACAAAAAATATTGTTAATGATAAATTGATAGAAATGTTGTTACAAATGCAGTTTTTGCGTGCAAACTCATGATGATTTGGGTAGTGTTATCAGGAAAGCAATTTATAAAGGTTCCGTTAAGGTATCTCTTTTTAATTATCCAATTGCGAAGTACTAAGGCTAAAATACTTTACCTTTGTCTTATCAGTATAATTTACGAGATAGTGCGTACTAAAGTGCAGCGAAATAAATCACTCTTGACTTTGTAAAACAGCATAAATATAGCCGCACTACGGGGGAATACTTGCGAATATAACCCCGTCTGCGATGCTGTTCCATCGTCTTTCGTCATTAAATTAGCTGTCATTTGCCGCATTCACCGAATGCTGTAAATGACGAAAGTCGATGGGTCTGAGTTTGCCCAGAAGCTCATGTGGTAACATCACTTGGCGCCAAAAAGTCCATAGTCCTCATTAGACAGAGGTCCACCGAACGCCGGGAAGATAGTAAAGACGATTAATTAATGTAATAGCAATTACTTCATTTAGAGTACTAGCCATGTAAAATCATTAAGTACAGCAAAAAGAAGCTAGATTTGTCTGAGACTTCATTTAACTCAAATCAAGACAGTGAGCCGGTAAAGTTATTTTCCCAGGAAATGTTATCACAGAAAAGAATAAAAAGCATCCTTCAGCAAGCGGAGAAGTCGGCTCTTCCTTACTTATGTGCCTTAACCCGTCGTTACTTTCGACATAGTAGTAATTAATCAAGATATTAAAGGCGTCTTCCCTTTTCAAGGTGTGTCAGACATACGACATCGCGCAGAATGCTGCGACATATCCGGGACTTAAATGTAGAGTGCGCGCGAAATTTAATTATTAATTAGGCTGCCGATGGCTAAACAA